ATATCAAATACAAATCTTCTGTATTTTCTCTAAGCAAGAACTGATGCAAGAGGTCCCAAGGAACAGATAACTCCTTAATGACTTACATTTGGTTTTACACATAGGGGGGAATAACAACCTGAGGGTAGAGCTTCCACTGAAAAAGTGAAGTTCTCCTCTTTTCATCTGAACTCCATGGCTGAGGGCAAACAAAGGAACAATGAGTGAGCCTTGAAGATCTGAGGGACAAACACACCAAAGTGAGAGATGCTGAAGAGACGGCTTTTCCCTGAGGCTTTCTCCTGATATAGTCACCACCAGGCTCCACACTCTATAATACAAGATTAATTGATTGATTACTGGGACTTGGGAGCAATTTTTGGAACATTTCCCACAATAAGCACCTGATTTGTCTAATTTAATAAGAGTAAACAGAAGAAGGGAGAGAGAAGAGGCTCAACAGAAGCTCCCCTACAGCTGATCCTGAAATGTCTAATAGGGGAATGTAGCTTCTAGAACAATTGTCTTTATGAAATTAAGAAAGGGGTGGACAACGGCCAGTCCCTAAGCCTCTGATTTGTGGCCCCCAGTATTCCAAAATTTACTATAACTTGTTGGCATAAAGTCTACCATTTGGAGTAGGAAATGTATCAACATTATTCCAGAAGCCCTACCATAGACTTAATATGCTTCAAAAAAAAAAAAAAAAAAAAGCCAAGGGAAAATCCATTTCAACCCACATTCCATCACCCTCCAAAAATATTAAGCATAGCACCCAGCCACCAAATATTATTTATCTTGTGTTTAAATTAAGCCATTGGCTCCTGTCATAAATCATGGGTATTCCATGGAGAAGGTGGTTTCCAGTACCAGTTTATTCTCTTTACTTTCTACTCATTCCTTAATTTCCAGTAGAACTGTCGCCTTCAAAAGATTTGGCTTTTAAGTATGGAATTATTGAAAACGAAAAATAACCATGATGATGGAAAGCTAGTTTTTTATTTTCTCCATCTCTTTCCCAACAGCATCCAGCATCACAGCCAGATTTCATCGGAAGTCCGGTACTCTGAGTACTTGACCCGCATGCCACCCCTCCCTGTAGAATGCCTGGACATTGATGGAGACTGGAGCACGCTGCCAATTATCTTTGAGGACAAATACGTGGATTTCCCTTATCAAGGTGAGCAGTGGTAGGAATTCCTTCTTATTTCTGGGAGCTTTTAGTGCTGGGACAGAAGGAAGAGTTCAAACCATCAGGCTGGTGAAACGCTGCAGTTGCTAAAATCTGATACCTGTGAGACTGGATGGCCATGCCTCAAGTGCAAGAAAGCCAACCGAGTGTGTGAGGGAGAGAAATACTTGGTTCTACCTTTATACTAGGTTCTACCTAGTGCATGATTGCAAAGGGAGAGTTTGTATTCTTCGAATACTTGAAAGGGTGTCACACCCAAAGGAAGCAAGAGCTTTCAGTCATTCCAGAATGCCAGACATGCAACAATGGATTTTTGCCACAGGAAGGCAGATTCCAAGTTAATGTTAGGAAGAATTTCTTAACAGTGAGAGCAGTTCGACAGTGAAAGCAGTTTTCCGTATCCTTTTGGATACGTTCATGGGGAGGCTATTCAGCCATCTGTCTGGGTTGCTTTAATTTGGATTCCTGCTCTACGACTCTATGTGCAATTATGGTTTTATTTCTATGTGCAATTATGTTGTTCCATTGTGGGGAAAAAAGCAATATTCAATCCAAAGTCAATAGTGCCTGGAATAGGGTCACTGCCCGCTCCCCCCCACAAATTCCATCTCATTAGAGATAGTTTTACAGAGTGAGAAAAATGTTAAAAGGGAGCTATGTTGCACAGAGACCAACAAAGGTTATAAAATGGAACCACATTCTTTGAAACAGTGGTGTTGTATAGTTATGACCATAACTGTATTCTTGTACAACCATAATTGCAGATCTCAGCAGCTGGCAGCCTCTTTACTGACTGTGGTACTGTGTATCTCAGGATCTTCTCCTACAGCTAGGCCTTTCCCTATTATTCTCCACCCTTCCTTGATTTGGTGGGAAAAAATATAGACATGCAGGTAGTCCTCAACTTATGACCATTTATTAACTACCATTCAGAGTTACAATGGGTATGAAAAAAGTGACTTATTACCAGTTCTCGCACTTACAAACATTGCAGCATTCCCACAGTCATGTGATCAAAATTCAGGTGCTTGGCAACCAGCATATATTTATGATGGTTTCAGTGGCCTGTGGTCATATGATTGCCATTTGTGACCTTCACAGGGGGCTTCCAACAAGCAAAGTCAATGGCGAAAGCCAGATTCACTTAACAACTATGGCAAAAAAGGTTGTAAAATAGGGCATGATTCACTTAATGACCACATCACTTTCAGTCCCAATTGTGGTCATAAATCGAGGACTACCTGTATTTCCTGTCCCCATTGCTGATACGTATCCTCTTTCTATTTCCACTGTTCCCTACCACTGCAGTTACCTGCCTTCCCTTGTATGGTGTTGGAATAAGAGAGAAAATGCTACTTTAATAATGGGTGAAAAAGCCTAACAACTTTGCACACCTTGAGGTAGCCCTTGGTGGTGGAAAAGAAAGAAACAGTCATAGATGGCTGAAGTCTGTCTTTCTTTCCTAGGTTAGGGATGAAATGATGGCAATGGCATGAAGACATGGCAGGAAAAACTAAGCCAGTGCATCTTGGTGCTCTGGTTATTCATTTGCATATGTGTTTGTTTATGAGGTGTTGCATTTCTATATTGACAATGGCCATAAGACTCATGGCAGTTTACAGTATATATTAAAGAACAACATCAGCACACAAAGTTATAAACAAAACTGTCACTTTAAAATTACTAAATTTTAAAAAAAAACCTTCAATAAATTGTTATGCGCAAGCAAAGAAAAACCTTAGCTAGGAACCAGCAGGATCAGCTTTGGATAGGCTGAATGAGATGTTGTTTCTGCTGTAGGTCTGTATCCATTAAATGATACTTCATGGAGACTTAGATAGAGAATATTCCCCACATTGACCTTCCCAGGCAGTAAGAAAATTCTTACAGCATGTACATAGGCCAGGAAAGAAGAAGCTGTCGGTCCTCTGACTGTGACTAACATACAACTCACACTACTTCAAGCCTGCATGACCCATGATGAGGGATGTTATGAGTTGTAGTTTACTGCTTTGTATGCAAACATGGAAGTACATCTGGACATGTGAGTGTCAGACTCAAGAATCACTACATCGAGATGGGCAGCCATATCAATTGTTTAAATAAAAATATTAAATGATCTATATGAAATATTAAACAAATACATTGATGCTTGTTTAATTTATAATAATCTCCTTTGGCTTTAGGATTAGGATTTTCTCATGTTGGCATACCTATTTAAAGTTGATGTCTAATGGTTCCATTTTTCTTTTCCTTTCAGTTCAGGGCTTAGACATTTTGTCAAACTATATGGTTTCTGCAGTGGACAATCCACAAGTGGACCTTGATAAAAATGAGGAGCCTTCCTCACACAACAATATTGCTTTAGCAAAGGGGGACTTCAGGAACAATGTCCCTTTCATTATTCATACTGATAGGATAAATAGAAATTTGATGTGTCCTTTTGGCTATTCAAAAGGTGACTCCTGTATAGTCAAGAATTTCAAGGCTAACTCCATGACTCAGGTATGTACAATGAATGGAGATGTCCAGTCCTATGTTACTCAGAAAGAACTGGAGGACAATGTTGTATCTGGCTTGCCATCAGATCTCCTGAAAGATCCTTCAAAAAACTTTAAGGAACCAATGAGATTTACAGAAAACAATAATAGACTCACCACCAAGGTGCCATATTTGGACATGGACCCAGTGTGTAAGACTGCCCACCAAAATCAATCAATACTTGTTATGAATACTCAGTATGACAGTAGCAATTATGAACCTTCTAAACATGTGGATGGGATTGGATTGAGCCAAACAGTTCAAAGGGATTGTTGTGAATCTACTCTTGCTTCTGACAAATTAATGTTCATTGAGACACCAGTAGATCAATGTGGTGAAACTCTGTTGCCAGCACTGAGGACATTTGATATAATTCATCATTACAACTCCTCAAATCAAACAACAGTTGTTGAGGAGTCCAAGTCATGTTTGAAGGAGCATAAAGTGAAAGAGCATGAAGATGTCTTCATAGCAGGGGTTATTAAGAGATCTTCATCGATAATTTCAGACTCAGGAATTGAAAGTGAACCCAGTTCAGTTGCTTGGTCTGATGCAAAGAGCAAGGCCTTGGAGTTGTCCAGTGATCGAGAGATCCTTCACCAGCTAGTCAGAAGGCATGCAATCCACCGGAATTCCCTAGAAGGTGGACACACAGAAAGCAATACAAGTTTGCCCAATGGCATACAAGCCTCACTTACTTCCATTAGCTCCTTGCCTTATGAGGAGGAAGAGAGAGAAGTGGAGCCCAACAAGCTGACAAAATCGATCTCTGCTCCTCAGATCAGCAGTCCTGAGGAATCTGTGGAAGTCATGGATATATCCAAACACAATAAAATCATCTCAGATGGACAATATGTTGAAATAGGAAATGTCAGAATGATCTCAGTGGGAAATATTTCTGCCTGCCAGGATGAAGGACCACAACTGCCCAGTGTTTTGATGGAGCATCCCAAATGTGTTTTTAAACAAATAAGTAGTACTGCTCACTTACAAGGATGTGTTGATGGCTTTCCAGAGAAAGACTGTAACTTGGAAGACAAAAAGGGACCACTACCTCAAGTAGAATACCAGTTGCCAGAGGGAAGAGAGGATGTCCATCTAGAAACAGTCAATAATTACTTGGACACAAATGTTCCTCATATGGATGCATATGATGAGGATGCAAACTTGCATAATGGCTACAATTTATATTCCACAGATGTTCACGCTTTCTCACATTGTGAGAACGATATGTTAGACTTTTACTATACCAATCCAGACTCAGCGGAGTTGACATATGAATCTGTCCTCACAAAGGGGAACTCTGCTATCTCTCTGGCCAGCAGCAACAATACAATATCTGGTAGAGAAATCCCAAATTTACAAAACGTTGAACTGGACAACAGATCTGAGTGTGGGTCATATGGTGTTGAGCTAGAAAAGAGAGATCTCAAAATTGTAGCAAACAATACAGGATCCCATTCTGCAGTACCAGAGGCCTTGGTGCTTGAGAGTAAGAAAGCCATGGAGGTAGTCAATTTATCTGTTTCTTGCACAGCCACATGTCTTCCCTTTTCTTCAATTCTCAAAGAGACACCACCGGGGACTGTCTTCTCCTCCAAGCAGGTCACTTCTCCTATCACTCACCAACCTGTAGGGTCCTTTGGGGTCATCTCTTGTGAATCTAGTAAGGTGGGAGAAGAGGACAATGAACAAATGCTCAAGTAAGGATTGACTTTTAAAAAATATTTTATTAAAATATTGATATGCTGAATGTTTACCTGGCAACAGATCCTAAGGAGGTAAAGGGAATGTAGTATGTACGTAAATATATAAGAGTATCTTCCCTCCCTCC